GAAGCCATCAAATAAATGCGGTTTCCAAAAGAAGTTGCATAGTTTACCACGTTCCTTGGTCTCATGAGCCATTATAACGTTTTCCCACCAAACTCTCATCAAACGAGAGGTTCGCTGAACTAGTTGCTAAAGAAAGATAATGAACAAAGGAATACCAACAATCCTTTGATGCAATCAAAGCAACCCTCAGTGCTGATCTACTCCTGCCTCATTCCGATCCGAACTTAGAAATTGTCATTGCTTCGGACGCTTTCAATTATAGTATCGGAGCTGTTATTTACCCCATGTTCCTGAATGGAGGGGAGTAGGAGATCGCGCATGTAGCGCGGTCACTAACATCGGCTGATAGGAACTAAGACCAGACTGAGAACGAAGCGTTCGCAATCATCTTAGCCATGAAACGGTCTCACACGATGTACTACGGCAGATGTTTCACCTTAGAGCAACCTACGTATTACTTGAGAACATATTGACAAATGCTGGTATCACTGATGGATTGCGGCTTTTCCTCAATTGAAATGGATCTTGTCGGTTGTGGAAAAATGTTTGATATTTGGAAACCAAATGGTGAGGCCAAAGAAGCTGTAAAGACAAATCTTGCAGCAATTTCTTGCCAGGAACCCCGGTACCAGTCCGACGTGATTCCAGTGCACAATCCGGATGCCTAGAACACCAGTAACGAGCCGGACAGATTGGTCTAGTAGTTCGGTTTACCAGAGGTGACAGTGACTGACCATAAAACAAAATTCAGAGCAAAAATCTTCCGTAAGCTTTGCCACGAAAACAATTCAGCAGGTATTCTTACCACCATATCATCCACAAGCGAATGAACAGGCGGAATGGTTTGTGGATGCCTTCAAACGTACGCTCTGGGAAGTAGAAAAGAATTAGGCTTCAGTGGACGCAATTTAGCTTTCTTGTGTAAGTATCGGAATATCCCGAACCCAAACGCTTCTGGTGGCAAATCCTCGGCCGAAATTTAATTAGGACGAAAGAATCATACAATATTCGACAGCCGTGTGCCAAGTAGGGAAGGAGAGCATGGAAACAGTAAAGCGGAAGAAAATTATATAGACAGGTTCCGTAGTTTCAAAATCGGTGACATTCCTGAGGCGTGAAATCACCAAATGCTGGGAAGACGGTCAAGAGAAACTGTTGTCGGCAAGAATGGTAAAGTGCGAAGTCAGAGATGGATCAAAACATCAGTCAGTTGAGGCCGAACCACGGTAAAATCCAAGCTCCTCCAGAAAACGCAGCTTTGCAGTGGGACACTTTGCTAGACACGTTCGACTCGGAAGATGAGAATGAGCACCAAATGACGCACAATGCAGACCGACCTGAAAGTGGAAACGACCACGATGGCTGCAACTCGATCCAAAGGCAAAATGCTGTGAACAAAATCAGGTTCGAACGATATAAGGGCAAACTCAATTCGAAAGTGATTTATTACGAGATCGCAATGGAGGAACATGGCTTTACGACGCGAGGTCAACCGGCTGTAGGCCACATCGGTGGCTGACGAAATCGGTTCGCCATCCGCAGCACGGGTTGCTATGTGGTCGGTTTGAACTGATGAAATCACGGTGACAGCGCCGGTTTGAGTGAGGCTGTGATTGGCCGGGCTTGCAGATAGCCAACTGCAGGAGACCGCGAGTACGTGCGGATGTAGGTAGATAGATTATCACCAATCAACCGGGTGATGTACAGTAGGATTGGAAGGCAGCGACGAAGCTGTATGTGACCTATGATGATACCCATTTCGCATTCTTCAATGTACTCCGGTCTGGCGAGTACTGTTGGGTTTTCTTTTGGTTGCGTTGGACAGAGCACCAGGCAGACAGCAGAAACAGGGCAGCGTTACAGCAGTGGCGACGGATATATATATATATATATATATATATATATATATATATATATATATATATATATATATGGGTAGGGTGCCTCATGCTGAGGCCGATGTTGTATTCTTGATGCTTCTTCACCGCAGCTGGGTTGAACCTAGTTACACGTAAACTAGGTCTTTTTAAGCTGGATAAATTTCATTCCACTTTATTTGCTTTGTTCTGTCTACCTGAATAATCTTCTATTAATTGGCCACGTTGCTTACACTAATTGCGCTTATCTTCGGTAATTTTGTTGCATTTGTAGCATTTTTAAGTAACGTGGACATTTTTTACTTGTTTCTGATTCGTTGCTAGCCAACTTACTTCATATGCTAATTTGGCGAAGAGTTATGCCACAGTATCTATACGCATTATTGGATTTATTTTATTTCATCTTGGCGTTTCAAGTGATTGGCTGTTGCTTAATATCCCCGGTGTGGCTACGCTTAATGTGCTTGTTGACAAGGTGCCTACCTGTCTATTACCCATTACCTCATCCATCTGGCTTCAGGAGACAGCTGGTCGTTGCTGGAGGGGACGGAGTGCACGGTCCTTGTGGCCGTGTTAGGATCAAAGTGTGGTTCCATGCACTCAGTGTGGAGGAGATTACGGTCCAGCCACTGCCTTGTGTGCGCTTGATTCCCCAAATCCAGCGTGCTTGTGTTTGCTTGTGAAGGAGTGTGGGCCGGCTCCGTTGATGCAACGTGGCTCCCATCCACATGCCTCTCGGTCTTATTCCTTCGGGTTTACACTGGATATGGGGTGTGTGGTTGGAGCTGTGGGTGGTGCAACGCAAGCCACCCATGGTCCCTCTGTAGGCGCAGGTGTCCTGTGGCTGTCTTGTGAAGGCCATCGTGACAGGTAAATCCGGAGTGGGATGTCGTCAAATATGTATATCTATATGACTACCAATGTGACCCATACGACCTCCTAGGAAGTCTCAGTTTGATATATCTGGCCTAATGTACGATTGTACTCTCTGAACCGGACACCAGCATTGCAGCAGTAGGTATTCTAGGCCGCGATGGGGTTACTTAGGACAAATGAGTTTATATTAGTTTGCTATATGATCTGTGCTAAATATGGATGCAGCTTCTCACTGGACGAGAAATCTGCCTATTGGTACTTTTATTATTGTTATTAGTAGCAGTAGTGTATGTCGGAGAATAATGTTGTGTTTTAGCGAGGCATGAATGATATATTGACACATTGTTTACGCAGGGCCTTCTGTTGCCTGTTTTTGCTGCATATGCAGAAAGTCATGGAATAACAACCGTTACCACGCTACATCTGAACAAGTTGGCGGAAGGCACGTATTCCGCGCCATATCCGTCGCTGATCAGCACATCGCTTCTTAGATACATCAAATAGTTCAGAACCAGGTGGACACTGAATATAAACTGCACGCTCACCCACTGGTTAATAGACAAGAGTTCAACCTACCTAGTTGAAAACACGCACATAACGGGACCATACCTGACCATAAACTGTCGTGCCTTGGCTGTCACACATTTAGTTCACACGTTGGTTTGAATGGCCTCATTTTTGACGGCTCTATCGCGAATGTCGCAATTCTAAATGCGCGCCCTGCATACTGGAACATGATGGCTACTTCACCCAAAGAGCAGTCAAACGAAACAGGGCCCCCATGCTCGGGGTTGGTCAATGGAAACGGACACTGTTTGAAGGCTATTGCAAAGGTGCATCGGCGACCCTATTTTAAGCGGGATTGCCAACTTACTACTTCAACGGCACTTGGTGGTCAGAGTTCGGAGCTCTTTATCGGACCCCATACAAGTCCAGTGTGGTGTGCCGCAAGGCTCAGTTCTAGGTCCACGTCTGTGTTTGGTGTTTATTAGTGAACTCGCACAGAAAATCGCTTCAACCTTCCTAATGTTTACCGACGATAGCAAGATTTGGCGCAGAATTCAGGTGAACGCCGACCAACATCTGCTGCACAGTGACCTAGTTACGGTACATCAATTTACTGCATTTCAAAGTGAGTAAATACAAGGTACTCTCCATAGGACATCAGAGTAGCTACCCCTATCGGCTCGGAACGAACGCACTGCAACAATGAACCGTCGAACGTGAATTGGGCGTCCGGGTTCAAAATGACGGGTTGCTCCAGGCAATCCGAAAAGGCCTCGAAGACTGAAAACCAACACGTCGGGTTGCTGCGACGGGCGTTCAGACAAATAGACAGCTACGTATTTCGACTAATGCTCAGTGCGTATGTTCGCCCTCATGTCGAATACGCAATTCAAGCCTGGCATCCATGGATGAAACACGACCTTAACGCACTGGAGCAGCCACAACGTCAGGCATCTAAGAATGTACTTGAAATGCGCAATCTTTCATATCAGGAGAGGCTGCAACGATTGGGGGTATTCAACGGAAGCAATCGAAGACTACGAAGCGACCTGATTACGACATAGTTGATTCTGCACGACTAACATCATGTGTGCCGCTCCTTACTACAACTCCACAGCAATACAAACCTGAGGGGCCACTCATTGAAAGTCGTAGAACAGTATAGCCCTCTGGAGTGCCGCAGGAATTTCTTTTCCATTCGTGTATGTCCCCTGTGGAATGCTATCATAGAATCGGTCGTCTCTGCACCGACGTTCAGTATTTAAAAAACGGTTGCATAACGCACTCAACCACACATTTTGCTACTCAGTGCTACTCCTGGAGTGTACTTTGGGTTTATTTGAAGTTAAGTATGGGTGTTATGAATCTACGCGGATTGTAGAACTGCAGTGGAGCATATTAAAAGGACTGTTTTATTATTATTATCATTATTATTATTATTATTATTATTATTATTTTGATATCCCCACCGACTATCCAAAGGGGCCTGTAGACTAGTGCTTCTTAACCCGTATAAATTCATTGTTTCTTGAACCACCCATAACTTCTCTCCAGGGCTCACTTCGATACGAATCGCCGTACACACTGAAATTTCGCGTCGCAATTCAGCTACAAAGCGAGTACTTCGAAACGACCCCTTCATCGTTTGATTTCGGTGAAACGTTTGACAGCAAGCTCAGTACGGAGTGACGAATCAACTCAAATCGAGGGAAAGCTAAGACGAGAACTCTCGGCACTTACCACGAACACCGGGGCGTGATCGTTCTCCTCGCACACCATCACAGTCACTTCATGAATGTCCGGTTGCTGTCCTTGGGCAGAGACTACGGACACAGAGATGTTAAAAAAGCAACCGCTGACTCTGCGACCATAAGGAAGAGACGGACATGCGTTGGATGATAAAATGCGCGAGTCCACAAGCTCAGTTGTAACGTCATTCGTACAACACAAGCCCGATTCCACGCACAGGCGATCACGATCGATGGTGCGCAGGCTGTGCAATTGTCCAGTCCGGTTGTTTAGGATGAAGTACCTAGACGCTGTGGTTTGCAGAAGAGAATACATTAGATGGGTGCCACGCACATTAGGCAGTACTCTATCCATGATCACTGTGCCCTTGGGCGTGTTGTCTCGCAAGCGAATGTTGGTACAGTCGATCGCCGTAATAAAAGCGATTACTATGGCGATGGCAAGAAATGTTCCGTTTGGAAGAAGCGTAGCCAGAACGATCGAGCTCGGTAAACGGCGTCGTTTTCTCCAGGTCGCTTGCTGATGAGTGTGGACGGGACGACAAGGGAGCTCCATGGAGACAGAATATTTGGCCAGTGAAATGTGACGGTGGTTATCTGAAAATAAGGGGGCAGGTGTAAATGATGGTCATGAAAGCGATTTGCATCACTCACGCCACATAATCCAGTCTCAGGAGCCTACAGAGAGCCGGCTCACCACTTTAAAAAAACCAACGGAATTGTGATAGAATAGGAAGAATACCAAAAATGAGGGTGTGCTCAGGGTTTCAGAAGATGTAACGCATAGACCAAATGCGTTCGCCGATACCAACCTGATCACGAAACGGATGATCAGTTACTATACCCCTGAATCGGGTTACAACGTTGCACTGGAGATTACCACTGTATTAAGCAATCGATTTCTATTGCAAAATTCGGTATTTGCCCGGTAACAGTTGGCTCTATGGAAATAGCTGAGTATATCAGAGACAGTTTAAAATAATAGCGGATCCTCCTAGCAGTGGTAGACAAAAGCCACAGTCAGCATAATTGTAAATTTGCTGTCTTTAACAAGATCCAGGAAATTTGTAAAAGTGAAATGTCAGCAGTCAGTCGCGGATGTGCTTGCCTGGAATTGATCGGCAGAATGTAGTTTGCCCGGCTGTCAGTTGCGTCAGATAAGTGACGTGATGTCGAAATAAAAACCGCTCTTCGGTGCCGATAATCAGTTAGTCTAGATGTAAGTGATAATAAGGCAACTGCTATCCGTTCTGTGAATTGTTAAAGCCCGTTGCTGGTTTAAGCATCGTAAGTGGAATGGAACGTAGCAGCTTTCATGAATAAACTATAATGCATAATATCATCCGCCAGACACCAGTTAAAAATGGATGGCTGTGTGTAGTTGATGGGCTGTACTTCAGACGGAGAGGTGTCAGTTCGATTGGCGATTCAAGTAAGGGGAAGCACGAGAATGAACGAACGTTTTATGCACCCAGCTTGAGTAGGCGTGCTGCCCGATTTATCAGGGACGAAACTTGAGCGAACTCAAAGGAATTTTATCGATCTTTGGCGTCTGTTCGGCTCAACTGACCAGCTAGGATCAGCGAGTTAACGCGCAATGATTTTATACCGGTTAAGAAGCACTGTTTTACAAGTCTCGTGTGTGGTCTGGTGGGTTATCGAAAAGTGCTAGTAAAAAACAGTACATTAAGTACCAAAAGAGGGACCTGTCATGTGTTATGCTGTACTCCTTGCACTCCGCGTGGCTTCACTGTACCAATAATGACACCTAATAAATCCAAGATTAATCTAAGAAGTAAAATGGAGAGTGATAAGTAACAAGGTGCAAGTGGACGACTGCGTCCTCCATCCAACTTTCGAAACTGGGTGGTGGCCTTGAAGAAACTACCCATACGAGTAGAGCATTCCACGGGTGACACATGCGACTAGAAAAGAAATTTCTGCGACACTCCAGGCGACTGCACTGTTCTGCTAGTTTCAAGGTTTGTATTACTGTTTATTTGCAGTAAAGAGCGGCACACATAATGTGGATCGTGAAGAACCAAGTAGGGGCCATTATCAGGTCGCTTTGTAAGCGGCGAGGCCGTCCGCTGAATACTCCCAAACGTTTCAGCCTCTGCTCGTAAGGGATATTGCGCACTCCAATGACATACGTAGAAGCGACATCGAGGCTGCTTCAGTGCATTAATGTCGTGTTTCAACTATGGATGCCAGGCTTGAAGTGCGTATTCAACGTGGGAGCGAACATACGCGCTGAGCATCTGTCAGAAAATAGTGATGTCTATTTGTGCGAAGGTCCGTCGCAACAGACCGACGTGTTGGTCACCAGTTTTTGATGCCTTTCAGATGACAGGGAACAACCCAAGTTATCCTGAGCCAGCACGTCTAGGTCGCGTTCGAATGAAGATTGCTGCAATACTTGCGTCCCTAGCCTGTAAGAGCAGGTACTTTGGTGTCGTATGAAAAAAACCTTGCATTTGCCCACGTGTAATTGTAGCAAATGTTAGTTTGACCACTGATGTTATATATCTAGGTCGACTTGACCAAACGCTGGTCGGCATTTATCTGAATCCGGGGCCATATCTTGATATCGTCGGCAAATTTGTGAGGCCGGTGCGGAATGGTAAAAGAGGCACCCAAGATACGACCACGGACACAATCTTCCGCTTAATAGCACCAAACGGTTGGTGTTGGAAACAAACAGATTGTGACCACACTGAGTTCATCTAACAGCCCGCATTGTTAAATGACCGGAGTACGAAATGGTGATTCCAGCTGTTTTCGGTAACGCACCGTGGTTTAGCTACAAGCAACGACTTGAAGAAGTAGAGAGAGCTGGTGTGGTGGTTAGAACGAGTCATGCTTGCCTTGGGGGGGTGCGAACATGGTGAACCCTGCGGTTCACATCATGACGTGCTACGGAAGGTGCAACCAAAACGAATGCCTGCATCGCTTTTATGAATTCCTAGCGAAGCAGCACACAGAGCAGTAAAGCCCGTAGGTGTGTATCGCTGTAAGAATTCTGGTGCGTGCTTCCGATAAGTGCACCTAACTTAGCTTGAAACACATCTCGTCGTCTAAGGCACAAAGCTGTGCTGGCTTTAAATGTGAATCAGGCGTCATTCGATACAATGCAGGGAGTGAAGGTGGTGATTTGGTAAAGGCGAACCTTTAACTGGTGCATGGCAAGCTGCGCGCAGCACTCGTGACAACTTCAGTAGTGCGTATAACAAATTAACGAAATCCTCATTTGACCGGTACCGCTGATTAATATGTGCGAGTGTCCGTGTGCTGGACATGATATGAGGAGTACACCGCCCCAGTTGCTTATCAACGCACAGCAAAAAGCAACCAAACGAAGTGAACCGTAAGTGCACCTGCTCCGCAGTCGAGACAGCTGCGGATACGACGCGTGCCAGTTGATTGATAGCGTCCCGCTGTTGCAACGGAGCAAAAGCTATCAGTGCTTGGGGCTACACACTTAACGCAGCTGTTCAATGCTTGCGCTCAGGCTGTGTGGAGAGCGATACACGCGAGAGAAACATTCCACCTACAAACACCGTCGAGCAGTGATTCAATTCATTCGAATGCCAAACAGGTCCATGACGAGCTAGGCTGCACGGAATCCACCAGACAAACACACAACAGCGAACGTACGCGCAGGCGACGAGTTGGCGCCGATGCGAAGGCATTTGGCACAGGATCAGCGCTAATGCTGTGCGACGCACACACACACACACACACACATACACAGCTAATAAATTTGTAAATGGAATGTGGATACAATTACCTCGTGGCTGGTTACAGTGGCTTGAGGCGGAGAGTGATAAGCGTAGTAACGGAACGGATCGGATTAGTATGGTGCCAGGTGGGGGCGTGGTAGACAAGTGAAATCACTTTGCTCGAGTAGTAGTGCACTCTGGGTGTGCGGGATGATGCATATACGTGGCGGACACAAACATACTCGTCCAATAGAACTGAAAGGAATATGAAAACAACATATTTGGCACTCGATGGATGGTGATGGGCACTTAGGTCGCCGTAGTGGAGGAGAGGGACCAACCTTTGAGCATACATTTTTGAGGTACAAGTGGAAGCCTCGCTGAGCGTCACAAAGTGTTTGCTTTCGGTGCCAATGCTGAGTGTGTGCACCAGTGCGATAAATCGGTAAAATTTACGCCATACAACGCATGGTAAAAGACAAGTTTTGATGCTAAAGCTAGTGACAAAAGAGAGCTCACGAAAACAGACGCTCCACGGTGGGGTCGCCGTGCTCGAACATACAGCAAGGTGGTGACTTAATATGGAATAGGAATATGTATAAGATGGGTCGAGCAACGTGCCTCGGGTTCGTAGAGAACACTGAGGTTCCACACGTGGAAGCAGAACGAGCTACGGAAATGTGTAAAATGGAAGCACTGCTTTCTTTACTCACTCCCACGCTTGATAAAACCCGAATAAACCGATGGTTCTCTGGATGCTGTTGGAAGGTTGTAAACAACGCACGATTGTTAAGTTGCTAGCTTAGGTTGTAAAAAGCTATGTAGTACTGTACACGTGCCACAAAAATGATCTTACGCGCTTTGACTGCGCTGATTATGGGCCGCGTTAAATAAATGGAACACTCTGGACCCACCAGTGAATTGGAGCTCTTACGACACGTTTACAATAGCTTGCAAAAATTAGGTTAGCATACGTTTTCCATTTCGACGGTTTACTGCCCAAGCGGTCAGAGGCTGACAAACGGAGCACAAAGTGGAGTTCGAAAGAAGACGTGCGGCCAGCGGTGTGAGTGGCCATCGTATCGTTCTCTTGGTGGAGTAACGGTACCGAACTGTATTCGGCATATCGGTGTTTAAACAGATCAGCGACCCGTTGAAAGCTGAAACCATCCACAGATTAGGAACCTAGCAGGCTCAAGTGGGAAGAAGAGCGTCCACAACCGTATTGATGTTCCTTGAGCTGGCACACATTAGATACAGCCGGTAAACATGGCAGGGCTACTATAGAGAGATGGACTATGTATGCCCTATCATCCGCCCAACATGGAGCAGACGTGTCGGTGTGAGAACCAGATGAATAAATGCAAACGTGTCGCAGGCTGTTCAAGGAAGGTAGATGCCTGAGTACAAAGTTACTGCAGCATTATTTTACGATTTCGAAAATATTTAAACAGGAAAATTTTTATAAGGAATAGAAGAGTGAACATGAGATATAAGCATGCGTATCGAGATATTCACGCAAAAGTATTCGGTGGTTGAACAGTAACGAAGCGGAGGAATCGCTTGATCCATGGACCCATCAACTTACTTTCCGCTTGCGATCGAAAAAAAGTAACTTGAGTCGTGGTAGGGCGAAACTAGCCCGGAACTGGTCACAGCACTAGTTTGTTGTATCACCATTGGAAATATTTTGCCGGTGTATTCAGGTACCTAATTTTTTGATGATCGTGTACTCATTCATCGCTCGGAATAGCCACGCTAGCAATCGGCGCAACCGAGGTAGGTAGTACCAACAGCGGCCGCTCCAGGGACCACAAGTGGAATCGTGGAAAAAGTTCAATTACATGGTGGCAGATGGCAGAAACGAGCAATGGT